TCAGCTTTTCTGCTGTGAAATCTAAAAAAGTAAATAAATTTACTGAATGAATTTATGCTTAACCTATAAATATTATGAATATTATTAATAGAATAATTCGTGGCCGCTATGTAATTGCAAACAGGTTTATCGATTACATATGTAGTACGTCATCATTTGCCATAGTGGAACATCTTAAATCTTAATTAATATTATGTAAAGTTTAAAAATCCAATTATTTGTCCTATCTGCATTACTGCATGTATTATAATTATATTTACGTTACCAATACATGACAATACAGTATAGTGCAATTGAAGATAAAAAAGATAATGCCGTTATTATTATTATTATGCTTTAAATATTGTTAACGCACATGTGCAACAGACGAAAGTCTCGAGGATTACAAGGAGAACATCTGATAGGGTTTACCCAATAGTAATCACGAAACACGTTAGGCTTTCACACATGTCGGCTGTTCTTATCAGGAATATCACCACTTTGCAGACAACAACAGCAAATACTCAGAGTGCAAAAGCAAAAGGCAAGAAAGAAAAGGCCGATAATTACAACCTGAATTACAACCTGATTACAATATAAATATGGTTACCATAAATAGCATGCAAACTTTATAAAGCATGCAATTAAGTTGGGGGTTGTGTGAGTTTTTTAGTCGGTAGTCTGGCGGAAGGGTTTTGTCATTTATGGTTTAGCGAGATGGACATATCTCCGGATGATTACTCATTTTCATATTATTCGTTGGATATATAGTGTCATAATCACAGAGCTGTGTCACGCATGGTTATTAACTGTATATTTTATGGGCAATAATTAATAAATTACCTCGTTAAGTACATATTATAGGATTAATCATTGTTCGTTAATCAACCCACCTGAACTGTCAGGGTTGGTACCAGTTTTGATACCTGTTTGGTATGCACGTCTTATCTATTTGCTGCGTCATTTAATATGGCCCAATTAAGCAGGTCCTGTAACTATATAATTGTAGCTGTTTTGCAGTAACAGCAGCAGCAGCAGCAGCAGCAACAACAACAGTAGAGTAGTTATTGTTGCTACTGTTACTGTTACTGCTACTGCTACTGTTACTGTCACTGTCACTGCTGTCACTACTGTTACTGTCGTTACTACTGTACGTAGGTTATATATTAAAAGTATGTAAATACATGCATAAGTAATTTATTACAGTTCAACATTTCGGAACTTTCATGTATAAACATTGTTTATGTTTAGCGTGAGAATGTCAATGTGTTGCCTAATATAACTTGCAAGACATGCTGTGTAAAAATCTGTTTATGTACCATTATCGTTTTATCAGTTCAATGTGCTAATTATAATGTTTCGTGACTGCTAAAATTAAGACAAAGTTAACACACCAAACAATGACCGACACTAATAAGTATCCGTAAATAAATAGCAAATTCTTGGCAGATTCACTATCGTTATTCGTTACAAGGAAATTATTGTCGTTGTATTAGTGCTTGTTTATTATTATGGGTGAGATTGTTTACATCATGCCGTAACTCCTGTTCCCTATTAACAAATCCCTTATTGCTTTATCAAATGTACACTCTTTTTTTTTTCTCTTTTCTTTTGTCTTTTTCTGTACGCCTGTGGTCACCTGCAGTAAGTAATATGTCATGTTTATTACGTATTCGTGCTTAATATTGGATGCATGATAACTCTATCGGTCACTTGTCATGCAACTTCCAGCCAATCACAGTGCCTTTGGCTGATAACTTGCTTGATACGAAAGATTAAATACGAGTTCTGGCGTACTTTAAGTTTCTAGCTGTCGTGATGCTAAGGTGAAGGAGAACGAGCGAGCAAGTTTGTGTGGGTAAAAAAAATACCAATATAAACTTGCGACGATTTAATATTACAGTTACATGAACGAACTTTATAGAAGTTTCCAGTTGGTATAAGAATATCTTTTTATGGCAATAACCTCGTTATAACTAATAAAGTTAACACTGCTTGTCATATTATTATTTATTTGTCTACTTCACATACTACCCTATATTAACGCCATCTCCTTCTCATCTATTCACTCCTTTTCATTGTTCCGCACAACTCTTTCTTTCTTACTTTCACATACATCTACATATACCCACACATCTCACATGAAAAAAAAAAAACCCCCCAAAAACGTCTCTCCTGTTTATTTATTACTCGATGCATGTCACAATATATGTATACAAATACATGACGACACATAAACTGTATATATCCCTTTCTCCCTTTTCCCCCCATAGAAAATACAAAAGAAATACCCAGTGCATCAATCACCCAGTGTGCATCACCAATGCATCACCCATCACCCAGTGCATCACCAGTGCATCACCCATCACCCAGTGCATCACCCAGTGTGCATATCACCCACCGCCCATCACCCAGTGCTCATCACCCACCGTTATCACCCACCGCTCATCCAACTCCCAATTCCCAACTCCCAACTCCCAACTCCCAACTCCCAACTCCCAACTCCCAACTTACCCCAACCCTCCTAATAATCACAAGTCACCCGATGCTTATTTATTATTATTCACGCCTGTTTTAGTCGTAAACGTGTTGCCAACCTGATACACGCATTCCGATTGATGTATGTGTCGATCATTCAAGTTAACCGAAAGTATAGCCAAAGACTGATACCCAATTGCTAGTTCTATGGAGAAACGAATCATCACAAGTTGTCGAGCTGAGTTGCAAGCAAGCGTAGAAGAAGGATGAGAGATGGGGGCAGTGTTGGGCATACCATCTGGGGAGTAACAACAGATTGCCTAATTTAGCTTGTTGAAAAACTTGCTGGAAAAAAAAAAAAGAAAGAGGCATTGATAACAGACGCTTACATAACACGGGAACAACGACAACCCAATTACAATAACCGCGTCTGCAGCCTGCTGCGCGGGAACTTGGGTTGTGGGGGCCATGGGCTGCTCTCGCCGTAGCTAGCAGCCGTTGCCGTAGTTGTAGCAATATCAGCAGCCGTAGCCGTAGCCATAGCCGTAGTCGTAGCCATTGCCTCCTTTAATGGCTCTTATTATGGCATACAGAGAATGTCTCAAACCGGAACCATTGTTTGTCGGCGACAAACTGATTGGCAAGATGAAAATGTCCTGGATAAAGTTAGAGGAATCATGAGAGACAACCCGAATTAAAGCGCTTAGGCCAACTCTTTGATATTGTTTCCTATGACGAAACAAATTCCTCTTGCAGGAAAAACAAGGGGAATTCCACAAATTATTAATCACATTATATTCACAGGAACCCGATTGATGGAAATGAACTAATGGGTGATTTGCATGTGCAAATTTTTGGTATGACACAACTCACGGAGTGGCTAGTGTATGACATGTTGTATTAATCTACAATTATTCATCGTTCGTTCTAGCGCCATTAATGGTAGGTTCGATCGTATGAATGTAGATGTAGATGGATACGAGGACGGTGGCGATGATGATGATAACACGGCAACAAGAACAGCAGCAGGAACATCAGCAAGAACATCAGCAAGAACATCAGCAAGAACATCAGCAAGAACAACGGCCACGGCCATCGTCATCGTCATCGTCGTCATAATCGCCGTCATCGACATAATCGCCGTCATCGTCATTACTATCAACTCCCTTCCTCTCCTTCCGCTTCTCCCCCCCTCCCTCCCCCCGTCACCCCCTCCCCCTCCCCTTGCCATACACTTAATGAGATGAATAGGCATATAAAAGCAACGATAGTAATAATAATAGGTATCGATAAAAATCAATACATATTAGTAAATAGAGATTAGATGTTCGGTCTTGAGTTACGTCCATGCATATATAATAAATAATAATATTCGTGATTGACTTTGATAACACAAATGTTGTTGAGCATTGTGGTGAGCACTGACCTAAATTTGGAGATAGCCGCTTGTCTCTGTATACAAATAATCAACTGTATAAATAAAAATATATTAAGACTAATAAATAAATAATTAATTTATACAACACATCAACTTAATACGTTTCTTGTGTGCATGTATATAAAATCACTCTTATTAAATATACAAACCCAGTTATTATTTATTTACCCTGCTTTATATACAACATTCCCCCCGCTCTCTCACTCTCAAAATATTATTTTTTTACATTGAAAATTTCTATCCACAAGAAGAGAGAGGGGGCGGATTTTTTAGTTCGTCCATCCCACTACACAGAGGCACTTTTCGTTCTACAATCACCTCCACATCTTTCGCTTACTATCATCCAAAATATACATTTCATACATATATATATATTATCTTGTATTATTGTATTATATATACATATATATATATACAGGTAAGCCCGTATACTAATAATACAGTCAGATAAACAATGTCCTCTTTTAGCAACATCTGTCATCACCCAACAGAACATTAATCATCCTACTCCCACAGATAATATTTCTACACTACACTCGTCTACCCTTCTCTAACTTTCAAAGAACACATGCAAGGAGGTGTTGTGGCTAGCACATTTCCCGTTTGGACGACGACTGCCGCTTGTTGTTCGCCTATACAATCATACTCCCACACTGAAACTGGACGGAATAGCACTGTAAAACTTGAGGGACGACTGAGACCAATGCATCAGGACTATATGGCCAAAGACAAGGACAATGATAAACAGATTGACAAGATAAAACACAATCACACAACAAAGACATCAACAAACACTCCCACTACTTCCACCAGCACATCATCTATAAACAATTCATCTAATAAACTTTATATCCCGAATATCAATGCATCTCACTCTAATAATAACTCTCCAACCTACACTCGATTCTTATCAGACTCTCCCACCCGTTTTCGCCACGAAACTCAATCCGTCACCACTGATATACAAGCATCATCGTCACCTACTGCAACTACAAATATGACCACCGTATCTTCTTCTTCTTCTTCTTCCTCTTCTCAAATACCAATACTATCATCTACTTCTATCATCCCATCACAATCCACTCAACTATCCTCTCCTCGCTCAATGCATCCTCACCGCGACTCGAAATTAGACTACCCTGAAGATGACAACATTCGGCATCATTCTAATGCATCAAAATCAAATTCATACATCGCTTGTCTCGACCCATCGACAATGTCGCTTATCGACTGCTACGCTCTCGTAACCGACCGTCTGGAAAGACTATATTTCGTCGACCGTCAATTACCTGCGATGGCCCCCAATAGCAGAGACATAATCTCCTCGATCTCTGCATTCAAATCAATCAACCAATTACCATACATTTCCAGACTCGCAACAGCAGGGGATGACGACGATGACGAGAATAACGACGATGACGATGACGATGACGATGACGATGACAATGACGATGACGATGAACAGAACACACCGGATGCTAAATCAAGGGAAGATTCACACGGCTATTTCCCTGAAAATTCTCCCGTAGACGACGAGATTGAGTATACCGCTGTGGCTAGCGAATGCAGTCCGGATGATAAGAACAACAACGGGGCTAGTTATTTGAGCGATGATGGTAAAGGTCATGTAACCGAAGATAAGAAGAAATCCAAATTTAGACGATTTTCGTTGTTGTCCTCTTCCAGAGCAAGTCATCATGATAATGATGGTCCATATGGTAGAGATGCTAGAGGTAAGCGAATGAAAACAGAACAAGAATGGAATTGGAATAAAACTTGTAGCAAAACGAGAAAAATATTATTGGGTTAAATTCCCATAGGCCTTACTTTATATTATTGTTGTTTATTTTAACGTAAATTTTACCCACACTTGTCGTTTTTTCTTTTTCCGTGCCTTTTGTTGGCGAGGTATTCCGAGCTGTTGTCTGGGCTTTTTATTTGTTGACTTTTCTGTCCATAATATGACATCATCACTCCCCCCCCCTTTTTTATTCCTAAAACTGCTTGTCTTGTACCACATAGTCACCACATCGATCTCTCTTTCAACGTTTCAATAGATGCCAGACGAAGTAGTACGGGCGAGTTTCCTAAGCGTAGACCAACTCGCATACAGCGAGCAATACGGCGTACCCTGACCATGACACTTAGTCAAAAGAATCGTGCCGATTCTTCCACCGATGTGGTTGCCTCTCCAGAAGACAATTCTTTATCCGGTAATCCCATCAGGACTAATCAGCTTAATCGCACTGCATCGAATGCGAGTTCGGTCGGAGATAACGATCATCCATCATCCTCTTCATCATCGGTTTCTACATCGACACCATCGACACCCACAACCTTATCAAATGGTATGTGCATCGTACAGTTACCGATACCAATATTATAAATCCAATCAATCGAACGCGGAGCCTTATCTTAAATCATCTAATTTGTTTCCCCAAAAACCCTATAGCGAATCTTCCAGGGGATCGAATCTCCCTCGACGACTCGACGATAAACGATAACCGACAATCATGGCCTCACTTTAAAACGTTGTTCCAATTTGTAAAACGCCGACACTCTACGTATGGCCGATACTCTTTCCCGTACACAGCGCACGAACCACAACGGCCCACAGCATCGGCCAATGAGCAATTCAGTCGGAATGGATCAGTCAGAGGCTTGGGAGAGTTGAATAGTGCGATTAGCAAAGGTGGTGATTTGAAGCTATCTTCAAACCAGATGAGAATGTTTATTGCTAACGAGATATACACTACCGAGTGCAGTTATTTGATGCATCTGCAAACTTTGAAAAAGGTTAGTTGAAGTAAGGGGTCGGGGTCGGGGTCTGCGGCGTGTACATCAAGTAATGTCGAAAAGAGGGGGGGGGCAACCCGAGCGTCTCAAGTGGGCTAATTTCATCCTTGTGCCATTCCATTCACGTTTACAGTGTTTCATGGACCCATTCATCGAAGCGGCCGATAAATCGCGGCCACTAGTCAAGCCGGCCGATATCGCAATTATATTTGCTCATGTTCCCGAACTCATCAGGATCTCTACCAAGATGACCACATGCATCAAAAGAGCCGTCGACCCATGGGAAAACGGCAAGACTCATCTCAACGATATATTCATAAACTTTTCGCCCGAATTAGAAGTATATAGTCGATATGCTAAGAATTATCGAGATATTCGGTTGGCTGTGGACAGGATAGATCAAAGTGAGGCGTGTCAAAAGTTTATCCGGGTAAGTTTCAAGAAATGAGATAAAGTGAATGCATATGTCATGCACGATTTTTAAAGCGTACATGAATGTAACGGTTTGGTTTTTTATTATTTGTAATTCAGCAGGCTCACAAGCGCAAGGAGACGAATAAGCTCGGTCTATCAGATTATATGATCATGCCGATACAACGCGTGACAAGATATTGCTTGCTGTTGGGAGGTAAAAATCGAATCTCACAAATCCACTTTTGTCTACAGAGAACCTGTACTTAAATTGTGTACGTATTTCTTCTCTACAGAGTTGAAGAAAAACACAGAAGAAAGTCATCCCGATTTCGCCGATATCTGTCAGGCGTTAGAAACAATGATTAAATTGGCTGCCAACTGCAACAGGGTTACACGTCTATGAAGTCTTGCCATTTTCTTCAGTCTTGTTATAATCGCACTTAATTATATTCATTTAATTATTCCTAATCTCTTTGTAAATATTGTTCGTATCCGTCAAAAAGAAAAAAGTACAATTGGAAGTTTGCTCTTTGTTGTTCTTTTTACATGTAATATTACTTTTTATTTTTATCTCATTTAGGTAATTTTCTACCTCAAAAAATTTATGGCTTTAAATATAAAATACGCCTTGGCATTATTCATCCATTTTTTTTATATTCATCTTCTTTTGCTACTTTGTGAGACTTTTTTTTTTACTGGATCATACGCGAAAATAAGCATAAAATCATTCTCTTTTTTTTTTGTACAAAATCATATTTTCCTTCTTTTTTTCCCCTCTTTGGTTTTCATGCAAATATTCGCTAAAAAAGAATTCGGTTATATTCTGTCTAAACAAAATTACTATGTTAAAGGTACATTCGGCGAGCGTGGTACGAATAGACCTGGGAAGTGTATATTTGAGGGTTAGTGGGAAACCACAGGTAACGTTATTACTGGTTCCTTTGGTTTCCCCATCGAAATTGTTATTACTGGAACTTTTTTTTTTCTTTTGTTATAAATTTTATTTTGTAAGATATATTTTTGGAAAAAAAGTTTATTTTCTTGTTTACTTATGAAAAAAAAAATTGAGTAAAAAAAATACCACTCGGAGATTTGACTTTCAGAAATCATCGTGAAGCAGAGCCCATACTTTGGGCAGAAACATTTCGGGAGAGTCAAAACTGCCGAATGTCACAGATTTGTCTCATATTCAATATGGAATCAATATGGAATCAATATGGAGTCAATATTTTCATTTTCTATCTTTAATGCAAAAATGAATTAAATTAAAAAAATCAATAATAGTATTTATTCAATAAAAAATTTTCGATTCAGGACAGTTTCAATCTAAATGAGAAAGCGATTCGTGGGTGGAATTAGTAATCGTAAAACTAATCTGAATTTAGATTATCCAAAATAGTCAATTTATAGTCGGAGATAAGAATTAATTGCAGTTTACTATTACGTATTAGGAAAACAGTAATTCTTGTTAATTATGGCAAAACGAATATTTTAATATGTGCTGCAGAATGGTTGGAAAAAAGCGATGTGGATTTAAAGTTTTTTGCATTTGATAGGTTTTTTTGCTCTTTCGAATGAATGTAAATTCGTGTAAATTTATTATGTGGGATTGATTTTTTTAAACAATTTTAAACTTTAAGGTCGCATAATGTTAGTTTTTTGGTAACACAAAAGGTAATATTGTATTATATTACTAGCCAACACACTACATTGATTTCACGGTAATTGCATTGCTCGTTATGCCAGATGACTTGAGACGGGAGTGTATATAAGAAGCGCGACTTTCCTGATAGAATTAATCATGTCCTTTAAATCATTATTCAATTAATAAACGAGTAATTCTTTATACTCTGAAATACATAATGATTCGTTATCTGGTAAATTATGGTATAGCTGAGAAACCGTTAATTTAACTTGGCGAGTAGGAGTAGCCACACCCCACGTTGAAAGGAAGTTAAATCCCAAGTGTCGATAATCACAAATGTCTTAGATACAGTAATAGCAGGGTGTGTGATATCCATCAAGGTATATCGTGCTTCATGTCTAATGTCCGTGAGATCACAAATTTTGCACATAATACCTCCTGCAAGTGAACTAGATTTAGTCAGACATCTGGCAGAACCTTCTGTTTGATAAAAGAAATGTATCCTTTTGGATAGTCCATCATATGGCTTGAATTCTATTGGCTTCATGAAGAATCCCATTACTTCCAATTTATATCCTTCAATGTTTTACACGTACATAGCTTTAAAGAATCAGGCATGTATTTTTGCCCCTCAGTGGGTTCAATATAATTATATCAAACCCGCTTAGTTTAGGTCATACCCACTACAGTGACGAGATTGCGTCATTCGGCTAGGGAATTATGACGATTAAATTACATTTGCGACGTTATGACTTTGCGTTTGCGTCGTCATTCAATAAAGCAATAAAAACAAAAAATCGGTTCGTACCGCGAGCTCGAAAATTTCCTCGTTTTATAGTCAATGCAGATATTTTCTTCCGATTTAAATACTGTAATTATTTTGCCTAGCCGCATTCAAAGTACGTGCGTCGTCCTTTCAAGGCTTGGGTAAACTTTTAGCTGCATTCAAGTACCTGGATTTACATTTCCATCGTCATTTCAGTGTTTCCAATGATGTTCAAATTCGAAATATTACGACATTATTCAAGTTTATAATGCAATTGCTAATTTAGGCCGAGGTATCACCGAATAATTCATAAACCCTGTTCTTAATTTTAGATTAATTCGAAAATATATTGCTATCTGTCTTCCTGCGTAAATTTCTCTATTTAAATCCGGTTTAAATTTACTATTCAGGCAGGCTTTTTTTTTGACCATACATATAAACCTAAAACTGAATTCAATTTTTATTGTAATAATTTTGCAGTGGTACCACAACCTAATATAATAATTCTACCTTGGTGTACAATTAAAAATAAATTTATCGCCACTAGGAAAACAAAATAATTATATATCTTGTCCATAATTTTAGACTGATTAAGAATACATTGCCGTTCTCTTTTTCCGCGCTTGGTATCCTTATTTGGTGATACTAATACCTCCAAAGTATAATATATATTCTATAATAATTATACCTTGGGGTAACACTTTTTCCATTCTTATATGAAGCATTATACTTGTGCATAGCATATTAAATTTATTCTATACTTTGGTATATCAGTTACCTGTTTATTTTAGCATATTATTACATGCCTCGCACTTACCTGAATATTATCTCAGTTAAAATTACGCGTGAAGCGCGCGCACGAAATGCGTGAGACACAACAAACCCCGATTTGAATATTCAAGCCTTGTTATACCGAAGTGTCGGGGAGCATCTACGCTTCGGTATAATGAGATACCTATATAAGGAAGTTAGGCCTAAGTTAAGCAATATTCGTTATATGAGACTTTTGTAAATAATCTTTTACTTTAATTACAAACAATTGATACATGAAATACAGGAATGGTTATACTAATCAGTAACAAATAAATCTATTCGAGTTTGTAATACTATGCAACTCTATCTTTCTCTTCAATGCACGAAAGGCATTAAATTTATAGTAATTAGTTTCTATATCACCTTGTTGAAAGAAATTGAATAACCGAAAACCGAAGAATTGCATGTGGCTTTTTTCCCCCGAGCACGTACCTAAAGCTCACGTTCACGCCGTGTAGGTCGCTTTTCTTGGAAGTGCCTTTTCAGTTAAGTATATATTTTATGTTATGGACAGTCATGCATATCGCTACTGATGTATGGCCATTACGTCCTGCGTTAGATATGTTTGGAGGCAGCCTGCAGGCATGTACAGCCCCCTCCAATAAATGACCGGGTAACACAAAAGTTTAATAGTAAAACATATGAAAAGTCTTTCGTTTCAAAAATCTCTCCTGCTCTTGTATAATACTCGTATGCTCAGTTACTCATGATGTACATGTTGTGCCTGAGTTTGGGACCTGTCTCAGTTCGGAACCCAGACACTCGGTCCAGAACTCAGTTGTCTCAGTTCAGAACCGAGACAGGAGGTACAACATACACATACTGACCAAAAGTATTGAAATTTACTAGTAACAACCTTTAATTTTGAAAATCTCTATCGTCCATACTTACTATGTAAGTTGCAGTGATTTTTGTACCGTTTTGAAGCTAACTGATTGTATTTTTCGAAAAAAATAGTGTGAAGCTTAAATTATCTGCTGTAATGAAGGAGTAGTGGAGTATTTATCTTACACATACGGTTTTTATGTGTGTAACATGAATACGCCACTTCATCGAACTGCAGCTTTAAAACGATAACAGGACTAAATGTGTTATTATTCTTTTGAAAAATACAATCAATTAGCTTCAAACCGGTACAAAAATCATTGCAACTTGCATGGTTCGCATAGACAATAGAGATTTTCAAAATTAAAGGTTTTTACTAGTAAATTTCAACGAGTGACCAATACTTTTGGTCAGTATGTGACGTGCGCCCTTTAGTTATAGAAACAGCATAAACTCACTTACAAATGTGATTGGTTGGTGATGGATAAAATTTTTTAACTGACGTAATAGTCAGCAAATAACAATTACCATAAATGAATAACAATCAGTGCTGATAATGAGGATGCAGTAATAGTATTAGTCATTTTACATTCCATAAACATAGCAATAGAGTCCTAGAATAAGAAGGGTTTTCCTTATTGTATATTGAAAATTTTTTTTCAATAATATAATATTAAGTTTGCTAATATAGCGCGGTATACACTCAAATAATTTTCACCAACTCAGCACATGAAATTATTCAAGGAAATAATTTCGGATGCGGTATCACTTTTATATTTACAACCATTTAATAATTATTAAATGTAAAACCGGCTTGTATATTTCGTTACGTATCAGAATTTTTTTGCTTTTTGCACTAACCAAAATTGAATAGGAATATAGTTTGAACATTAAACCGATTTATTTGCTTACTTAAAATTGCGTAAATCTTTATTATTACCCTTATAAACTGTATTCACTAGATATGGCTTGGTTTTGATATCAACAATAAAAATCGAACTTCACTTAAATCTTGCTATATCCCGGATATGTCATACAAACACCAATTATTCTAGTTATTACAGTATGAGAAGCTCCTTAGTTAAGAATCATACAACAATTCGTCTGTGTACGACAGATAAAAAGATTATTCGGTGGTAGTTACGAGGTTACGTTTATGATATATTACTATAGGATTGGAAATTGGGATTATATATCTGAGTGGGATACAACTGAGGTAGATTTACAGTATATGGAACCAAAATAACCGGAAATCCGTCCAGCGTCAAAGAATAAAACCGGGGTTGGGATACAGGTGGGGGACTATAACTGAGGTACAACTATATACTACTTAGCAATGTTATTTCATAATAATGGCGATGTAGGTTTGTACGAACATCGCTATTGATTGACACGTGTGTACTTAGCTCCAAGTCCCAAGGTCGGGATCGTGCTACAGTGTGCACTTATAGGGTGCACTTATGGAGATGCGCAAACAACACTGACGAATGTTACCACGGGATTATTACATTATCCTTCATTACACTGACACTCAGATCTACTATGGACTGTACGACGTGTGGGGTTGTGCGACCTGGCCTGGAAGGCTGTGCGACATGGCAGGTATTAATTCCTGATAATAATAATAATAATAATGAGATTTTGGTCAGCGGATGCCCCATCATACGTAATTGTCAAACGCAATAGCATATTAATATATCATATTACAAACGCGCTTGCGTAATCATTGTTATTGCTGTTGCACCAGTTGGTGACCTGTCTCAATTCTGGACCGAGACAACAGAAGTCCCAAACTCCGACACAGCGTTATCAATAAACGAGTAGTTCTTATACTCCAAAAATACACGATTGTTGGAAATATTCTATATAGTTAAGAAACCGCTAATCCCTATATCGGAAAGGAATATATGCCGCGATTATTCCAGTGGCAAATATGATAATTAATCGATTACTACGAAACGCGTTTGATATAACTACAATTTCACCCCAACCGATCTAATTCCATCGGAAGTACTCGAGGACTATTAAATTACCTCGGATTAGTGTCTACCGAGTTTAAAGGTCATTTTATTTAACTAAAGGTCGGAGACGCTACAGCTCCCTCCGGCTAAAATTGACGATTACTCTCCGCGATTGTTAGATTTGCCCAAAATTGGTCTACCCTAAAGGGCTTATTATTATTGATTATTAATAATCAAATTACCTGATATATCGACTAGTATACAAACATTATGCAACCGTGTAACTCACCCATTCAATTTTTATCGATATTTGACAATGATATGATGTAAATGAATTCTTTATTTTTAAGCGCAGTGGAAAATTTACCATTAAAACCCAGATCGATAGACAACTTGCTGCACCTTTATCCACATGGCGGAAGGCAGCAGAATCATTAGAAAGGATCCTTTTGACATATTCCCACTTGAAATCCTTCATTCAATAATCAGCCTCTTTTCTCGCAAGACTTTGTTCTCTTGCATGCTAGTGTCCAAAGCATGGTCCAATATCTCAACTCCTGCGCTTTGGAGATCACCACGTACAAAGGAGGCGAACAAATGGAAGTCACTTTTGCAAACACTTGCCAAGACTCCCAGATACCGACAATATATCGAACGGTTAGACTTCGATGGCATTTACTACATTGTCACCGATGAATTTATAATAGATCTGCTAAGCATGTGCAAGGAGCTGAGAGAATTGATTATTAGTGAACCCAGAAATTTATCTGATGCTTCAATAGATGCGATAGGAAAGCACTGCTATAAATTGACTCGGTTGCACTTACAATCATGTACTAGGATAACAGATGCAGCGATCGTAAGACTTGTTGAAAAATGCAAGAAATTAAGAACCGTTAACATCGAAAGATCAGTCCATCTTTCTAATTTGGCAGTCCGTGCACTCTCTGTCAGCTGTCCTGATATTCTCTCACTCGACTTTTCTGAACTTGCCAAGATAGATGATTCATCCATCGTAGAATTAAGTCATCATTGCATGAAACTCCAGTCAATCAGTCTTGTGCATTGCAACTATATTAGTGATGATTCTGTCATCGCGCTGTCAATGCTACCGTCACTGCGAGAATTGAGAGTGTCTAGATGTAACCAAGTGACTGATGCATCTTTGTTTGCATTGGGAACCCGTGCAAAAGAGCTGAGGCAATTGGATATCGAACGATGTGATCGCGTGACCGAGGATGGTGTAAGATCTGTCGTTGTTGGGTGTCCTAAATTAGAATTATTGAGAATTAACTCACTCTATGGGAATTTATCAATTGCATTTGTGATGGAAATGGAGGAAATGAGGAATACGTTGGTAATTCATAGAGTCTGACGACGTGATTAAAAGACGAACAGTAGACATCGTGATGTACATAATAATAACCACTGATATCATAGGAAATACATTCAATTTAAAACATTCATCTATGTATACAAGGGACTATCATTAACACACAATACATATTCATTATTCCAACTTCATCTGTTCCGTTTTATTGTCACTCGTAGACTGCATAGCATTCATTCTGGTATTTGTTTCACTTAATTGTGCTTGTTTCGACTCGAGATCATTGGTGAGCCTATTTATTGTCTTCTCGAATCTCTCCTATATATATAATGACGCGTGAGCAAAACATTAAGACATGTATAGAGATTTGCCATGTTCGAACGCACCTTCATTATAGGATTTTCGGTTGCTGCCAGATCATTTCGTTTCTTTTGTATCAATTCTTGAGTCTCGGATATTTCTTGTTCCAATTTCTTTTTATTCTCTAGTAATTCAGCCATCGCTTCCTCAACTAACAACACAAACGACATCACCATCAATAACAATAAATGGGCGAATATTAGCAGATCGTAGTGATTAACTCACCATCCTCTTCTTCGTCTTCGTCTTCACTCTCCTCGTCTTCGTCTTCCTCTTCGTCAGAACGTTCATCTTCATCCATAAGGTCGAGATCGCGCTCCAATGCTGCACCGGCATCTTCTCCAACAGCATAGAATTCTTCACCGGCTTCGGCCTCTGCTTCATATGAATTATCAAGGGCAAGGCCTGGTGTACCTATTTCCGAGTCCATGACGTCTTCTACCAGATCTTCAACAATTAAAGAGGCATAGACGACTGTCAGAATAAATTTCTATTCCAGCAGTTAATAGTTTTACCCCAAATCATTATACCGTATTGCACTCTTTCGGCTTGCGCGTCTGCTCTCAACAATCGTTCAACCTCCCTTTCTACTTCCTCTATTGCCTTCACAAAGAAAAGTTGACAAAAGTAAATAATTCTGCAGAGTCAGATAATATATACACAAAAAGATGTATGAGATGATTTCATGCATAATATTCTGTCTTTTCATACGCGACAAGAGCAAACGGCGACAATAACAACTAACCCTGTTTGACAATCGCTTCCTAAATCGTCTCCTCCGCACATTTCTCAACGGAGGTGCCAGTCCATCTGGCCAGATAAAATCCTCCATATTCACTGAAGATTTATACTCGTTTAATTGTGATTCACCTTCGATTGGCCATTCTACTACTAGCATCTGTACAATGATCAAACAGTCTTGTCGAGAATTCATGGAACAAAAGTTAACCAAAAGGAATCCTAACCTGGCATATATCAGCAATTTTATAAAATTGTTTATTGTTAAATGTTTTTTGAGATTCTATTATACACGGAAGATCAACAAGCCTCGCGCTGTATTTCTGATCATTGAACTTAAATATCGCGTGTCGTGGATCTAAAGTCGAGTAGAACAATCTTGTAAAACTACTAGATCGAGGATGAAATTGCACCTCTAAAGTATTGCCTTCCCATACCCTTAAATAGTATAGCTATATCATCAACATAATGCCGGCTTCGAACTTGCTCTCGAAACTTTTCTCGATCTTCCTCTGGTATCTGCAATCTAAGTATAAACTGCTCTTCTACGCGCACTTCCGCCTCCTCCTCTTGCCCTTTTCTCCTCCTTTTTGTCTGATCAAAAGAAGATGACGATGTTCTCTTTGCAGGTATTTTTATTTTGAAGCTACCACTAGCAGACTTGGCTGCGGAATTCATGTTCAGAATTGAGGAAGTGAAGGTTCAGTTGGTTCGATGATAATGATAATTGATGTAACGGAAGTCCGTCATGTGAATTTTAAAAAATCACGTGAATTTGAAAATGCTATCGACTTTTTTATCATCCTGCGTTCCAGGTTTAAAGGATGGCATTTCCTGGGATTCCAGTGCCACAGACACCACCTCCACAACCATCACCACCAATTGATTTCCAAGCTATAAGCGAGTCATGTCCATTTAAGTTTGTGTTCAGCGGAGCGGCAGGTATTAATAACACGCATCAGTTAACAAAGTGAATTTGTGGTTATGTGTCATTTTGACTCGATTGATCGTGCTATGTGTATTCTCCTATAATCAATTCGCCGATAGGATTCGTTCTGGGTGGTGTGTTTGGCATGTTTATGTCATCCTTCGAAATGGCATCGACAGATCCCGCGCTTTTGGAAGCCCCGATGAAACAGCAGTTGAAACACACAGCAAAGGACATGGCCGCAAGGTCATTTTCTATGGCTAAGAATTTTGCTGTTGTGGGTGCTATTTTCTCTGGGACGGAATGCATAATCGAGGGGGTGAGTTTCTAATCGCTTGAGTAGGAATTATTAATTAAAACTATTTGATCATGTATAAAACACGAATCCGTAGCTGATCTGTTCGTTTTTTCGTTGACGTGCAACTAGTATCGTGCAAAAAATGACGTGTATAATGGCACAGCGGCAGGGTGCATAACTGGTGCGATACTGGCTGCTAAAGCTGGTCCACAGGCAGCTGCCATTGGATGTGCTGGATTCGCGGCATTTTCTGCTGCAATAGACTTGTACTTGCGAAGAGAGTAGGGGGAATAAGGCAGTCCGAACAATATACTATGCAATTTTATTCCTGCAAGCGATTACCCACTTTTCACACTAAGCTACTGTTAGCTCCAGTTTTTTGCGACATTTCCTGATTTCAGCAAGATTAGCAGACTTTTGTGAGGCGCGACGTTATCTTCTTGGGACTAAACTCACCCTTTGGAGAACGCGTATTACATGGTACGTATAGCATGTATCAATATGTGAGGCATCAGTTACCTGTTTATAAAGTGCATGGTTGGATTGGGTCTAATCCTTCCCATGCGACTAGCTGCGTGATCTAAAACACGAGAAAATGACTACAATTTCATTTGGCAGCTTGGCTTTCATTGTGAGAATCGATTCCTTACTTCATAAATTACGTACGTATCTGAGGGAAGTTATTCTGACCTGTTCTGTTCCTCGGTGATTTTTTTTTGCCTGCTTAAACGCTGTACTGGAACTTCAGCATACCGCTTCAAATATCATATGTAGTCAAACCCACAGTTAGTCAAACCCTTTCTCCACGTCTTCGAGTCGTCAAACCAACGCCAGGACGATTCCGTAAAACCAATTATGTGTTGCAATTCATAATTCTGGCTAAGATTTAGAATCGATATTATTGAACTGTATTGGTATGTAAAAAAATTTAAACTCCAGAGAAAGTTGTTAATGCACTTCAATTAAGAAGCCCTTCACGAGCCTTAATGCCGAAAAGACATGCAATCCTATTATTATTTATCATCCAAATTTGGATACAGTACAATTTCTGTAATCATAATTCATGTCCACATAAGAGGTGACGGTCTTTCTTTAAGTATTATACAATGGTTTATTTATATAGTAATTAATCATGTCGTAATATCTATCTCATCCATCTAATCGCAAGAAAAGAAATTATAATTAATCTTCCCTACAGGACGTAAATCTGTAGTTTTGTGTCCGCGGAATGGCTGATCAGCTGATCTTGAGATTTATGGTCTTAAAGGTTTCAGCTCACATAGTTAATACGTTCTTGCTGATGATAATCTTGGGTGTGGTGAGAATTAGCCTATGCAATATCTCCTATTACTCGGGATTCTTAGGTAAAAAATAGTACCAATCTACCACGATCCTTAGTGAAAGTATTCACAGCTGATTATGAATAAGCAAAGGGATAATTGATTTTTTCTTAATGCAATTTATCCCATATTTAATATTGCTGGTAATTCTTCGCTGTAATAATGAGTGTCACTTGTGTTTTATTCTGTCAACTTGTGCATTGTCGAGTCGTTATTTATTAGGAATTCGTGGATCATTCCATAGAAACTTCGGAATAGAAAATGGGCGTCTATTTACCGCGCCATGTCTTATAAGGAGCTTATTATAGTTTCGGGAAGCACTCAATGATCGTTTAGAGCATTATATAATTGATCCCTAAGATGTTTGTCAATGACAAAGTTAGGGAACAATACGCTTCAAAAGGGCATAGAAAAGTTATAAACTTTTTAATAGTATCGGTGCAGGGATAATCAACATTTGATACACTTTCTTGGTGATCTCCTATACGTAAAAATAATTCATTTAATAACCATGTGGCATGTTCAATTCGAAAATCGGTCGATCCAGTCGAAAAAAGCACATTTTGCCTAACATCACGTAAACAATGTCGCTTATCCGTGTGATATTCAGACAGTGTGCCTATTTCGAGATAGCACATTACGTTTGTTCATAAAACTAGTTGCGTAACTGAATAATTACCAAAAAATATAAACAGTCATATAGAAACATTAGAAGGATTGTGGGTGCTTACTTTTCGGAGGTAAAATTTTGGGCGACACTTTTATGGTTAGCAGAATATGATGAAGTGTCGGGAAAAAGTGTCTCATTGTCCACAGATGGCCAGACAATGACCCTTATGAATTTGATGTGCTTCTCATTATATACAATGAGATTGAGAGAAAACAGTCATAGAATTATCTTTTGGATAAGATGTGAATGATGAAAAACGATCTGAGTGCTGAGGGAGATTATGTTCAAGACCTTTTCCAGTCTAGTAATGGTAGCTTTGATATGAGAAAACTGTTAAAAACTTAGGATCATCCTCAACAAAAGAATTTTTCCATAAAAAATCACTGGAAATTGGTAATATTTGAATTGCAAAGGAACTTTCACAATATAAAAAAGTGATGACATACTTATCCTTCCAGACGTATCAAAAAAGTAAAGCTCATGTCATGTAATGTGTATTTAGAATGTAAAATGCATGTTCAACAGTAAAACTGAAAATTATTGTTATGTTTAGTGTTTTCAAAATAATAATATGGGGCATGCTGCAACAAAACCAGACAAAGTAAACATTCTATAAATGAGGGGTTGATTATGATGTGGCTGTAAAATTGACCAGTGTGACTGATGATGTTTTGAAAAGTAATAATGGTGCTCATTCATAACTTATAGACTTGTTAATTTTAATGTTCACTTTATCATACCAGAATGTGATGAATATAAACTATAACATGATTAATATAGGATTATCTCTATATATAAAAATATACTATGAACCTAATTTACATTAAATCCACTATGAAACCAAAGAATTGCAGCGCTTTTAAAGAAAGCTCAAGGTGAAAAATTTGCCCCTTATGTTTTTAAATCAATGATACCAAAGCTCTCCAGGAATATCTAGATAAAGAAAAAATCACTTATAAAATTTACCAAGAAGAATGAAAAATAAAAGCCATTAAACGAGCATTAACCCGAACTTATGATGAACCAAACAAGAAACGAAAGCTAGAAACATAAAGCAAATATCTGTTTATCGATAATCGGGACAAATTTCCATGATTCTTTATACATAGGCAAACTCGATAAGTCGGACGCTCGATAAGTCGGATTTGGCTTAACTCGGACAAAAATTTTCGGC